ATGATGGACTGTAACCTAGAACTATGGGATGAACCCTTTCTTCCAATTGTTTCTTTTGTCAGGGAATTTTATCATAGCAACATAACAGTCAATATAATTGTACTATTTTAATAACTACAAAAACGGATGGGAGGAGTCTCCAGCTAATCACACTGTGACATACTTTTAAGACTGTAGAATGTGTGTGCTCTCTTCTACGTCCCTTCTTCTGTGTGCTCACTGCACTAATAAAAGTTCCACCATATTCTGTATGTTGTAAGAGACCACTAAACCCTCCTGTTCTCCTGGGGGTGAGTCACTATGAAGAAACCCAATGACTTCACAAGAAAACACACAGGTTGCCCAAACACCTGTCATGGTGTAACTGAGCATCATATCCTGCAGAATCCAGGACAGGACCGTCCTTCTCTTAGGAAATAGCACACTCAAAGGCTAGGACTAGAACCGGGATCTTCTAATGCAGTGGCTCATACATAGTTGGTAACTGAATATAACAAAACCTCTTTAGACACGAGTCCCACTGACATAATGAGAGATTAGAGACACTGCGTTTTTCTGGCTGTGGGATAACCAATCTTCAGAGCTGTTGGCACACAGGAATGGACAGAAAAAGGATCATACTTACTTATAAAATCCAGTAGCAGACAAACTCACTGCACTCGTGTAGGCAGCCATGACCTTGAGGAAGACAATGGCCATCAGGAAGGTCCGACAATGGTGGTTTCCAAAGACCCAGCCCATTACTAAGTTCTCATTATTCCCATATTTCAGATGACAGAAAGCAGCTTTTGACCTAGGATCTCAATAGACACATAATGCGTGTACTGGTGACTGGGGGTAACTTGCTGGTGTCATCTGCTCATGAAGGATACTGCACTACAGGGCTGGTGGCAGAGGACAAAGCTCAGAACAACAGGTTGAGTGGAAGAAAATTATCATCAAGGCTGCTGTGAAAATGTTACAATTGTTTGACAAGCATATGCACAAGTGACCAGAATTAAACTAGAGTAGAACTTATAGTGCTTCATGCGTGCAATACTTAATGAAGTGAGTGTGGAAAGGATCACATGAGACATGAAAAGAGAGTAGATGGGACATGAGAGCTTGTTTTCTCTAAATCTGTTGAAATGGGGCTGTATTATCACATGGTTCATGGACAATCGCATTTCGTTACTTTTGCCTTCTTGTCCCCTCCCGTGTGTGTGTGTGTGTATGTGTGTGTGTGTGTGTGTGTGTGTGTGTGTTGTGCTGCAAGAGCTGAACATAGGGCCTTGCCTACTCCAGGTAAATGTTCACCATTGAGCTAGATCCCCAGTCATTGGCTTTTTGAGAAAGTATCTTTCTACATAGCTCCGGCTGGCCACTAATTCACAATCCCCCTGCCTCCACCGAAGATTACAGGCATGCAACACTTCTGAGAATTCTTAGCATGCAGACATCTAGTCTAGAATTCTTATTGGAAGTTTCTGATCACTCCTGGTGTCTAATGGGACATCTTCTATGTCTCCCACAGATGACATAACAGTGGCCCCTAGACACAAAAGTTGGGTTGGGGGAGAGGCTGCCAAAGACATGGAGTTTTGAGAAGACACACCTCTTTTGGGCCTGCTGGAAATATGTGTGGCTCCATGCCTGAATGAGCTAAGTCATCACGAGGAGGTGCTTAAGGCAGACACTCCACCCCTAATCCAAACAAACATCAAGATCTTGGGTCAAAAAAAGAAAAAAAAAATTTCCTCAAGTCACTCCCCTCAAGAAGCCCATGAAGCATGAGCTTGTCCCTGCCCTGTGACTCAGGCATAGCTTCCTCTACTTGTGTGTGACTGGGTCGTCATCTACATGTGTTAGGTAGGGACAGAGGCCTTACTGTTGTTGATATACTTCTTTGCAAAAAAGTAGCTTGAACCAGCTCAGACTTACCCAGTCTTCCCAGGAGCCTTCGGGTTTCTTTTTCTTGAAAGGTTCCAGCCTTTTCAGTATGACCTGGCAAGCTTCCTGGAGGAACCCCAACATATACCAGGCATGTCAGTGTTCTGCCCTCTGTAGCCCAGGTGACACCTTAAGCCACTTATAAAACCCAATGCCCTGCAGTGCTACCTCCAAGCTACCCTCTGACCCTGATAGTGGGCCAGCATTGGCCTTTGTCTAGAGAGTCCTCCTGACACTATGCCTAAGCTACAGAGAGGGAACTGCTGAGGGAATCCCAGGGAGGTTCCTTCTCCCATTATGCCCCTTGATTGAGTCTATCTCCCATGTGACAAAGAGGCAAGTAGCTGGAACTCAGCTGACCCCTATCAATTTCAGCCCATTATCTTGTGATAATCCTGGATTCTAATCTTGGGAAGTGTGATTCCCCAGAAGCCCCTACTTGTCTTCCAATCCCCCTCTAACTCTGTAGCCAATTCTTCTGGCTTTGGTAGAAACAGTGATGCTGGAGTTTCTCTATCGTCTGGGTATATAAAGGGATGGCATTCTCACGGGTAGCAGAGCGAAGTCACGACCACAGCCAAAGAGCCTACACGGATCTATTTTCTCTTGTGACCCCAAACCCAGAGCCCATCCTCAGCCATGTAGGCTCCTCTAGGTGTGTCACTTACATAAACAGCCTGGCCGTTGATGTCAGCGCTGGCAGAGGCAGCCGTGGGAGAAGTGTTGGGGACAGTGTTGGTGCTTGTCTCGCTGATGTGAATCTTGGAGGTAGGGATTTTCAGAGCTCTGCTGGCCACCTGAAGCAAAGGAGATGCGCAACACTCTGAGAAGGAGGTTATCACGGAGTTAGGTTGCCTTCTTCTCAGGGCAAAGTTCAGTTTTACTGCCTGAGGCAAGAAAGAGCCTTGTACGCTCTACTCTATTTGTTCTGGAATGTTGTCTCACCCGACTGAGTTTGAAGAAGTACTTTTTTTTCGTGGGGTTTGGTTGGCTTAGACATCCAGAAACCCATTGTGAGCAAATACTGGATTTTTTTTTAACCTGGATAAACTTCAAGAGCCAAGCAGATATTCTGACTACAATCCAGCACCATTAGCCAAACTCCCCTGAGAGGTCTTGCAGAGTGAGGGAAATGAGCTATTCTCATACATAGGATGAGCTCAGAGCCCAGCATGGCAGTGATGGACACTTCCTCAGAGATTGTGTAGTCAAAAATTTAGCACAGATAAGGAAAGAGACCAAGATGGGGAAGACTTGCCCAAGGCCATGTATAAATGTGCTCTCGGGCCTGTTGCTCCTTCTGGAACATCACACTCCTCAGCTTTCCCCAGCATCTTCCAGACTCCAGACATCCCAGACACGGTCCCCAGGCTTCTCACCTGAACCATCTTGGTGTGAAGACCTTGGCCCATCTCAGTACCCCCATGTGTCAGCAGCACCGAACCGTCAGTATACACATGGATCAGGGCACCTCCCTAAGGAAGAAGAAAGGCCAGACACAACATTTGGTAAATTCTGCTACAATTCAAGCTTTGAAACTGAAGGTACAGAGCCCAGGAAGGAGAGAACCGTCAGTCATATTTTAGATAAAAACCCAGGCAAAACCACACAGCATAGACCTGGTTATTTAAGTAGCCCTTCAGGAGTGTGGAAAATGCTTTCCTCCCCGCCCCCCACGTTATCCTGAGAAAAAAGTAGGTCATTTCTCTCTGTACCAATGCTATATCTGAAGAAACAGAATGAAGAAACCAAGTATCTGTGTATAGTCTTGCAGTCATGAAGGCCAGAACTAGAAATCGCCCCCATCCCTGTCTCACTGCTCCTTCACACACTACACCAACGGGGTGTGCAAATTTCACTTTATTTCAGAAGCAGAAGAGCTCTGGTCAGGTCTGCTACTGGTGATGAGGGATTCCTCTTGTCACACCAGAGGACGTAGCCAAGTCATGTAAGTAATTACCTGATTCAGAAAGGGAACTGTGAAGCTTATTCCAAACTTGGTTGGGATTATACACAGTCCTCTCTTTTTCCAACAATTCTCCCTGGAGAGAAAAGAACATTCCAAATCTCATTCTGTGGACAGAGATCCGCCTGCCTCTGCCTCCCATATGCTGGGATTATTTCAGTTAACTTTTTTGTATTAAATCAGAAGAGGACATCCTTGGATCCATAAGCATAGTCACTGTCATAATGAGAGGTAGAAATCTAGTTTCTGGTCTTCCAGTGCAGGTGGTACAAACTTCAAAGTACTATAGACTACCCTTCCTTAGCAAATTTCAAAGGTGTCTGTGTTGGTCCCCAACCAAATGCTTTCAATAATATGGTACTCTTAGAAAGTGCACAAATCGATACAGATGAACCTCGATTGATGGACTCTGATGCTGAGTGAAGGCTGACAGTCCCTTGTTGCTGGGCTAAAGATCTTTATCTGATATCAAGGAGATAGTTATCAATGAGCTAATTGGTTCAGTAGCCTCAGAAGTTGTCCAATGAACCATCAGCTTGTTATTTGGGGATCAGTAGAAAGGCTGGACCATAGCCAAGAGAGAGCGCATCAGAACAGTCGACTCCCACCCTGCACTTACTTGTTGAACTTCTCCACTTCCTTCTTGCGAACATAATACTGAGAGCTGGCTATGCATTCATCCCAGCACCTGGGCAAGGTGAACCCCTCCAGCTTCTGGTTGAAGTGAGTCAGGTCTCCTTCTTTGTACATGTTCTTTCTCCGTACCTTCCCAAGAAGAGAGACACTTAGGTCTTATAGCTTCTGGGTGCCTCCTCGGTAGCTGTTTATACTCCCTGCCCCAGGATAAGCCCTAGATAAGAGTCCCGCTGCCAAGAATAAGCTTGGGCTGTTAGGCCATCTCACCTCCTCTGCGGGCAGTCCACAGGTCACGGCAACCTCGCTCATCCAGTGTTCTGCGATTAGCATACCCTGAGGACCCCCGAAGCCTCGGAAGGCTGTGTTGGAGGGCAGATTGGTCTTACATATCCTCCCAGTGCCCCGGATGTTGGGTATCTTGTAGGTGTTGTCCATGTGGAATAGAGCTCGATCCATTATCTGAGGCAGAAGAAACCAAAGAGCACAGGTCGTGGAAATCCACTGACTTCTTTCACATGTCAGCACAGGAAATGAATTCATGACTGTGCTCCCTAGGCCAGCTGTGAACATCTCTGTTTCAGGCCGTGTTATTTCTCCTCTAGGTAACTTAGCCTCCTATGCAGGTCTCCAACTGGTCTCCGTCATGGGAATCCTTCCCAGGACCTCCAGTTGGAACTGTTTGCTCCTTTCAAAAGTAAAAAGGTGATATTTTTTGGTCCACTGCAGGTTTGTTTTCTTTCAAAGATTTGAGTGTGTGTGAGCCTGCGTGTGCCCATGTGAAGGCATGTGTGCTTGCGTGCATGTGCCTGTGGAGGCCAGAAGAGGCTGCCAACGCCCCTAAAACTAGAGTTACAGGTGGTTAGAAGCCATCTGACACAGGTCTAGGAACTAAACATTGGTCCTCGGGAAGAACAAGTGCTCTTAACTCCTGAACTATCTCTCTAGTCCTATAAATTTGCTTTATATCCATTAAAATTGCACTATAAAGAGTCAATTCCTATGTAAGTCATTTCTGTGACCCAGAAGTCTCTTCCAAGTTCCTTCCTCCACACTCCTGAAGCAGCAAGGCACCTATAGTTTATAAAGCTGCTGCTTCTATGGGTTGGTTGGTTGGTCGGTCGCTCAGTGGGTCTAGTGTTTGTACATGTCTGTTTGTATACACATTCGTGCATGTGTGTATCTGCTTGTGGAGGCCAGGGGTCAATGCGGGACATCTTTCTCAATCACGCTTCTTCTTCTATTCTGAGACAGGGTTTCCCACTGAACCAGGAGCTCATGGATTTGTCTAGAATGGGTGATCAGGAAGTTCCAGGAACCCACCAGTCTCTGCCCACTCCCTGTCTCCAAACACTAGGATTGCAGGCAGGTGCTATTGTATCTGGCTTTTATGTAGGTGCCGGGGTCAAACTCAAACCCTCATGTCTGCGCACCATGTCCCCAGCCCCTTTTCTCACATATTCAGGCCAACTTCTTCATATTCGTATCATATTTCAGGGTCCAGTTTCAGACTGTCGCTTTCTTTTTTGGTTTTTCAAGACAGGGTTTCTTTGTATAACCCTGACTGTCCTGGAACTTGCTCTGTAGATCAGACTGGCCTTAAACTCACAGAGATTCACTTGCCTCTGCCTCCCAAGTGCTAGGATTAAAGGTGTGCCGCCACCATCCAGCTTAGACTTTCAAAATGCCTTCCCAATTTGGAAAGGGGAAGTTTTGTCCTTGCCTTGTCCCCTTTCCTCCCCAGACATACTAGCTTCCTATATCTCAATATAGTTGTATTTTAGTCAAATCAAAATACTCAGTTTGCTATTATAAATCTGTACACATTACAGCTCAATCAGGAAGTTACTGTGTGATATCTCTCTCTCTCTCTCTCTCTCTCACACACACACACACACACACACACACACTTTCAGCTCAAAGATAATCATTAACTTTTAGTTTTACATTGGTTTTATTTTCTATGTATATATTACTAACCCTTGTAAAGTTTCTCTTAATCTGTTCAGTTGCATCAGATTTTTTTTTTCATTTGTTTCATAGAAAAACAAGAAATTATTTCTGTAGCTGACTGACTCTAGTTTAGCCCAGCTACCTGCTAAAGCCACTGTCCAGCTGCTGCCTTTAGTGTCACCTGCACACCCTCCCTGATTCCCCTTGCCTCTATAGTTTTCTGTTCCTGAAACTCCAGTGTTTCCCTTTCAGTTCCACTCACTCTTCTTTGGGTGCATCTGTTAGCATTGTCTCAAGAGTGGGGGGTACGTCTAAGGCTCAGAGTCAGAGGAACAGGATGCTTGCTATGGGACTGCATGTCCTAGATACTTCTAAGATGCTACATCCCTGAAGTCTCTCCAGCATGGCTGCCTAAACAAGACCTAAACAACAACAGCACTTACAGACGCGCTAATGTGGAAGATGGAAATCCCATGGACCCTCAACCCTAGACCAAGTACTACAGGCAGCCAAGGTGTGCTGAGAGCAGAAGAGACAGTCTTTCCCCAGGGAAGTGCCCCAGTTGACTATGTAACATAATACAAACCAAGATGTATTGATGTATTTAGGAATGTGTGTGTGTGAAACAATAATCTTTTAAAAAGAGGCCATGAATTTGAGAGAGAGCAAGGAAGGGGTTAAGGGGAAGAAAAGGAAATGATGTAACCATATTTTAATTTTTAAGAAAAGAATGACTATACACATTTACTGTGCTCTCACTCTTAACTGGCTCTAAATAAGAGTCTTTGTTGTAAATTCACTCATTTCTCACTGTATATCAATATACATTATATATCCTAATTCCCCAATACTGAGGAACAACAAAAAATCTTCTCAACTCTATAAAGAACTGTTTTTACTTTCCTAAAAAAAAAACCCTAAAACTCAGTATCCAGTTTTCTAAATTTCATTGTGAGCCCATTTTCCTCTATTACACTTGCTAAAGATGCTCTTTTTAAATCTTAAAACCTATGTCCATTAGTTTGGGGCTATATTTTTAAATTGTTTCTTTTTTTTTTTGAGTGAAAGCTCATGATTTTATTGTCTTCATAACAAGGTCAGCTTAGAACTGGATCACTTGGCCCTTTCTCTTCTTATCACCACCAAGTTCAAAATGCTTGCATCTCTTAATAGCCAGCATCCTCTTAGATCTGCAGTTGGGCTCCACACATTCCAGTCTCAGCACAATCTTCTTTGTAGTTTTCGCCTTTTTGCGGAAAACAGGCTTAGTCTGCCCACCATAGCCATTCTGTTTCCTGTCATAGCGCCGCTTTCCCTGGGCATACAGAGAATCTTTGCCCTTCTTGTACTGGGTCACTTTGTGGGGTTGGTGTTTGCCACATTTCTTGCAGAATGTACGGCGGGTCTTAGGAACGTTCACCATGTTGGCGGGTGCGATATCGGCCTTAAATTGTTTCTTGATAGCCTCTTCCGCTGTCTGTTCCCCTTCTTTGTTTTCTGAAACGTCCATGATTTGCACCTCCCGGACTGGTTCTCTGAGTTTTCTCTGTTCTTACCCCCCAGTGTTCTCTCTTCAGGGGACAGCCGTCAAGTTTCCTTCAACCTCTCTTACAGTTTTAATAAACAAGAGCTCATTTTCACTCTTGGACCAGCCCAGTGCTGCACCGTGCTGCTTCCTCTCCATGCGCAATGCCCAGTCTTCCTGAGGCGACAAACGCCGCCGTTCATTGCTTTTGCTGGTTTGTTTCATTTTGGTTCGAGTTTCGTTCCCCAAGTGTAGTTTCATTTTTCCATAAATAAATTGCTTTTTGTGTACCTATTCTCAAGTCCGTTTTGCTTCATTTTACAATCCTATCAACTCCTTCCTTCCTTCCCTCCTTCCTTCCTTCCCTCCTTCCGTCCATCTTCTCTTTCTCTTTCTCCCACCTATGGTTTCTTTGGGGCAGAAACAATGCCACAGTCTCTTTATGCTACCACCTAGAGCTCAGTGCTCAAAGCACATTTATGGGACTGAATCACAAGGTTTTATGATCTTTGGGCATAACTGCTGCTTGCTTGTCGTCTGATTTACCCTAAAACACCAAAAACCTTTCACCCATGGCAAGAACATTAGAAATCCTTTCTGTTGTGAACACTTGTAATAGTAAGTAGGGAGTGTAACATTTTCTAACTGAACTAATCAACTCCTAGCATAGGGGGAGACCCCAAAGGGCATAACAGGAAACCTGCTTTTTCTGGATTGTTATTTTAAAAAATAGGAATCTATACAAGTATAGAGAGGTCTATATAGTCTGGTCATAAAATTAGGATAACTTTTAGAAAGTACTAGCAGCAAGGTACATTTGTTAATTCTCACAGATGATTTTATTTTACACACTGCCCCTACTTACTTTCTTTTTTTTTCTTTTTTAAACTACAATGATTGTTTTACTTGGGGAGGGGGTGTCACCGCTTGCATGAATAGGTCAAAGGACAACTTGTGAGAGGCAGCTCTCTCCACCGTGTGGGTTCCAGGATTAGACTCAGATTGCCAGGCTTGGTGCCACACCCCTTTGCCCACTGAGCACCACCTGGCAGTCCCTACTGTTTATTTTATTTTAATAACCAAGTATTCCACTGTGGCAGTAGTAAGGCATGGCCATTTCTGCTGGTCTTGTCCTTGCTTAATACAAAAATATCCAAGGACCATGTTAGACATTACTCAAAGCCCTATCCCGGGAGACAGAAAGCCAACATTGATATACAATATGAAGACTTCCCCCTCTCAACAGGTATTGCTAAGATACTACATAGACATCTAGGTAGGAAAAGGTGAGATATATGCATGTTCCAAGTAAACAACAATGCCAGGGCATGTCCTTGATCTCCCAGTCACCCCTTGGGACATACTGATCCTACTTACACCCCGAGAGAGATCCTCAGTGTTCCCACCATTGCTGAAGTGAGCCACCTCCAGAGCCACTATTTTCCCAGTCTTCATGAAGCCAACCTGATGAAGAGAAAAGCATCCTCAATAGAACCCACATCTCTCTGTCTCTGATCCATGTCTGTCTGTCTCTGGTCCATCCCACCTGCTTACACTACCCACGGGAACAGAAGACCAAGAACCTTGTATTTAGCCAGGAAGGGATGTCTGCCACCAGTTATCAGCATGTCTTCATCACGGTCCAGCATGCAGCGCACAGGGCGGCCTGTCCTGGGGCAGGGAGAGACCAAGAAGGTTAGGAACCTGTGAGCCTCCAGAAGTCCATGGCCCTGAGTCTCATGGATGCTAAACAGGAAGAAGGAATTCATTTTCATCTGTGCACTGAGCTTTGCAATGAAGATACTATGCTAAATAGTACAAGGAGTGCCAGGCTGGGTCCTCTCCTCACTCCTAGGGAGATTACAGCCAACTATGGAAAATAAGACATGGATACACAGGTTCATGTGCAAAGAAACTAGCTAGGTGGCCCTTGCCCTTATGTCCAGGGGTTCAAAACACAGAAAGCTGAGAATTCAAAGCATTGACAATTACTTTCGACAGGGGGAGAATCTAAAATGCCTTCCTGACCCATCTGGCCTTATTTTACTTTCCAGAGAATCTAATTGCGGGTACAAGAAGAAAACCTAAAAACTCACTTGTATGCAGCCAAGGCCACTGCCGTGGACAGCACAGTGCTCCGGGTCTCCTTCCCTCCAAAGCCTCCTCCCATTCTCTTCACTCGGACTACAATCCGGTTATCTGGAACGCCCAACATCTTTGCAACAAAGCTCTACACAGAGGGGGAAAAAAAGTACATAGCCTTGCATTGGTGCGTCCTCTGACCTTTTTCCAGACCTGACCTTAACCTGCCCAACACGGCTATACATTCTAGTATTCCTGGCATAAAATCCTCCTCACCTCCCAGTGCTGTCTGGTGCCAGGGTCACCGCAGACCGAATCAGGCAACTCAACTCTCATACTTGCATTTAACCACACGGACAAGATAGCAGCATACTTTCAGAAAAAAATCTCATCTCATCTGGCAAGGGCTTTTAGATCAGAGAAGTAGGAGCAGATACCAAAAACGTTGGCAACTTCTATCATACTACAGGTCATCATCAAGAAAAATCCCAGCCGTGGCTGCTAAGTGAGCAGTCCCCATGACTATCACTTAACCCCACACTTGATTTTAAAAGATGAGAAATGTGGGCAGGACATGCCCTGCCCAAGGCCACCTAGCAACAAAATGATAAAAAAAAATGAAGACATAATAGGTTCTACTAAAAGTATTAAAATGTATGTAATTGATGCAATAACACTGGCAAGCTCCATCTTATGAGAAAACAGAAGTAGGAAAAGTTAAGTGATGAGTTCAATGCCACCTTGTTGGTGACAGGGTCTGTTCCCATGACTAATACTCATGCCCCTTTTAGCACCCGTATCTACCCCTCCCATTCCCCCCCCTGTCCACCTAGTCTTCTAGGGGTTCTCTTGTCACTGCCACGACTGCTCTGTGCTGACCTGGGTCTTCATGGTGTTCTGTGTGCCCACAAAGAGCTCCATCTCGCCTGACTCGCCTTTGGGGACAGCAATGGTGCAGTTGGTTTCCAGGTAGAAGTGCTCCTGGCCACCGATATACAATTCTCCTGGAAAAGCAACGAGAGACCCCCGATGAGCCCTGTGCTGCAGCAGGGTATACCTGCTGTGATGGCTAATCTCAGTTGTCAGCTTGACACATCAGTTGAAGGACTCTCTCCATCAAGTTGTCTTGTGCACAGATCGGTGGGGCATTTCCTTCGTTGGTAATTGATAAGAGAAAGCCGTCCCCGACTGTGAACAGTGCCATTCCTGAGAAGGCGGGCCTGGGTTGGTTAAAGACGGCCGCTGAGCAAGTCAAAGAAAGCATGCCAGTTAGCAGCATCCCCACTTGGCTGCTTCCGTTCCTGCCTCTAGGCTCTCATTGGCTTCCCTCGATAAGGGACCTGTAATCCAAATAAACCCTTTCTCCCCAAGGTGTTTCTAATCAGTGTTTTATCACAGCAGCTGAGAAGCAAAGCAGAACATTTGCCCAAGGAAATATTCCACTGAGGAACCACCTGCTGGCAGGTGACCTCTGGGTTTCCCAACTGGATGCAGATGCCAAAGTATCTTAAAGCCCTAGCACTCTGGGAGTTACATCTGTTCCTCTAATCCTCCTCCCATCAAAGAAGCCAGAGGAGCATTAACTACATCAGGCTCAGTCTTCTTGCCGCAGCCACAGGGCATCTGGGATTTCTAAAATGATCGTTGTAAAATTTTTAGAAAAGGCGAGGAAAAATTGGCAGCTATGACTGAAAACACGACTATCTTTCAGAACAGAAGCAATCACTCTGTTGGAGACCTAGTGAGCCTGCTGGTGATTTAGCAATGCCCAATGGGTCAAAGTAGAAAGGTATTCTAAGGGAGCTAATGGGTAACCTTGCCTTGGGCTGGGATCTGGGATCTAATTGACAGAGTCAGAGTTCAGGAAAGAGGGGGAAGGGCAGAAGCTCACTGAAGATGGGTAAGGAGCATTTTCAGGCATCTGGGGGAGAGTCTGGAATTTATCTCAAAGCTGGACACATCTGTGGCCATTGTCCTCTCTATACAGCCTTCCAAAGACATACTGTAGGATCACTTAGGTACATCCAGCATTAAGATGGGAGAGGGGAGATAAAAATGAGGGAGGCTCCATCCCTGATTACTGCCTACAATTTCATTCCAGACACCAGAGGGCATCTTATGTGAGAAAATGCTACCAATCACTTCCCTTCTCCAGGGCTCCGTGTGTTTCTCTTGCATTTAACTGACAAACCAAGGTCCCCATCCCTTCTGCCACATGGCGCCACCATACCTGAGACCACGTTGTCAGCTTCAGAAAAGCCTTTCTTGAGATCACCTTTCTCAATTTTTATCTCAGGGCCATAGAAGGAGTTGTTCTTTATAGCATCCTGAGGGTCAGAAATGAAACTTCAGTAACAAAACTGGAGCGAGGTGGGGGTGATAGAAGATGATTCTGACCAGGAAGAGAGGGGCTTTCTGAAATGCTGCCTCTCTCTCCTCTCAAATGTGCCTCTGTGTGGTCATTCATACTCTTAAAGTGGGTTCTACTGGAGCTTAGGGAATTGTGTTCTGTCTGGCACCTCAGTGGCAGAAAACCAGCTGAGTTTTCTGGAAAAGAAAAGAATTCCAAGGAAAACCAATTGCATCTGAAATGAGGGACAAGGGGAGCTCAGTTTGGCCTTTAGTGGACTGAATGCAGGATGGTGAAAGGTGAGGTTTCTCTGGAGCATAAACTCTAGGACTGGAAGGAATTCTCAAATCCATTTACAGAAGGCTCTTAACTTATGATAGGGTTACATCTCAATAAACCTATCATATTGAAAATACCATAGGCTAATGACTCAGTGTACCTAACACAACAAGTGAACAACATCGCTTCAACTAGCTGACCTTAAAGTCTGAAAACCTCACAGTTGGGAAAAAGTCATCTATCACACACCTGGTTTTCACATGCAGCGTGGGCTATCATATGTGATTTGAATACTGTACTGAAAAGTGAGAATCTGTGCATTTGCGGGCTATGCTTGTACACTGTTGGAAATCTGAAGAACTGATGTAATTTAAACATAGCCAGCTGTAGCCAAACACCCACGTGTTGCTCAGATTGAATGTTCCGTCTCTGCCGAGTCCTCCAAAGGAAGGCTAAGAAGGATAAGAGCTGACTCCTCTACAGGAGCAGCCTGTTCTCCGTTACCTCGATTGTGATAATGGCAGGTAGGTCTTCATAAGTTATTTTCACTTTGTTAGCAGCTCTTTGGGCATGTTCTGGGGTGTCAGCGACCACAGCACCAATGATGTGCCCGACACAAGTAACCTAGGATCAGAGACAGGTTACTGAAGTTCATCGAGTTCCTCAGGAAGCAAATCTTTATGGATACTCTAACAAGGCAAAGGTGGTCTCCACCCTTCAGTCAGAGCACATTGTAGGGAAGCTCTTGTGCCTTTCCACTTCCTGACCCTCCTTACTGAGGGCATGAACCTCCTCACAAGATCACTGGAACCACGATAGAAAGGATTTGAACTCAATGCCCAATTCTTATATTTTCAGTCTGGTAGCTTATTGAGAAGCTGCGTGGGAGAGAATGTGGACAACAGCTTTCCTTGTCTGCCATGAGCCAAATGGGAGGCACCGCCCCAGCAACTGTCTGTCAATGGACAGAGGGCTCAGTGATTACGAGCACGTGTTGCTCTTGCAGAGGACCTTTGCTCTATTCCCAGCACCCACATGGGCTCACATCCACCCATGAATCCAGTTCCAGGGGATCTTCTGACTTCTGCAGGCACCAGGCATGCATGTGATAAACAGATGTATATATATGCAGGCAAAACCCTCAGACACATAAAATAAAAATAAGTAAATTTTAAAAAAATTAGACATAAAGACAGATTCGGGACACAATGGGATGATGGCCAGATCACAGCTAACTAAATATTGATTCTCTCAGCTTCAGTATCTTCCCACCAGACTCCTTTCTTTTATGTCAGATCTTCTCAAAGTTCACCCTGCATCTTATAATTTCATCTAGATCAGCAGTTCTCAACTGGGGGGGTTTCGAACCCTTTGGAGGTCATGTATCTAGTATCCTGCAATCAGATAGCTAGCTGCATTGTGATCCACAACAATAGCGGTGAAATAATGTTTTGTGGTTGGAGGGTCACCACGACACGGGAACTGTGTTAATGGGTCACAGCATGAGGAAGGCTGGGAACCACTGCTCTAGATGCTCCTAAGCTTCAGGTCACAAACGCTGCTTTAGATGTGATGACTGTTGAATTAGGAGCTGCGGGGCTGCGTCCCCAGCATCCCGCCGCCCGCATGGCTAGGTTATGCCCAGAAATAATTACACGGA